CCTGTACTCTTACACAGGGGATCTCTACAGCTCTTTGGAACCAACAGTTAAAACAATATCCTAATTATTAGAAACCTCTTTAACAATGCTCAGGCTCTGCTGTGATCGTGTGCACTTGAAGTTTATTAATTCCTCAAATAATTATTTAGCATCTTGTGTTTTCTCCTACCTCTAGTAACTCTGTTTTACTGCTCTCACACCACACCAAGAGAAAAACAGCATTTGCAGACCTGATACTAAGTGGAGATATACACAGGACTCAGCTGATGTAGACTTCTAAGACCTTGACCTCCAAGTTGTTGCTACTAATGACAGCTATCATCACAGCTAATTTTCATGTTTGTGCACACAGCAGCACAGTGCTGCTTTTCATGTTTTTGAGGAAAAGCTTTCCAATCAAATGGAGGAATTTGTACTTTTCCAAGTGTGGCCTTTCATGGCTTGTGAAATATTTTCCTTCATTTTTTTTTTTTCTTGGTGGGAGTGTCCAAAATGCAGAAGGACCCCTTGAAATACACAGCAGGTATGCAGGAGGGAAAAGAGAAGCTACATGAACTCTTTAGAAAAATACATTATTCGCAAATGTGTAAATAGAGCAATTGATTCGAACTCTGCCAATGACAGATGAGCCTAAGGTTTTCAAGACGAGAAACAATGTAAAACTAAAAGAGAGTGGATAAAGATTCCGAAAAAAATGTAACTGCTCTTCACAGTTCCATCACTGATTTCCTTTATGGTCCCTTTCAGAGCCTGAGTTTGTAAAACAAAAAAATTCTCTGTCTGATAAATGTTAGGCTAAGATAACAGTATCATTACTACAATCACAAAATATACATTTTGATAGTATCAGCCCACTGAAACCTGTTGGTAGTTTAAACAAGATATTTAAATGTAAGTAACAATTAGAAAGGACAGATAAAGCAAGGATGGGCTTTGTAAGAGAGTATCTTTACTGCAAGTGCTGTGCTCTAGGCCCTAGATAGACACTCAGGCACTCCCCACTATGAGTTGCCTACTCACCACAGAGGAAACTGCTGATTGATATTGAATAAAGGATATTGGATAAAGCTCTGCTCTGGGTTACTATGGGGATCAGATGATTTAATCATCCAGGTTTAACAAGGCTTACAATCACAGCACTCAGCAGAGACAGGTTTAGGAAGAGAACAAATCCCGGCTGGGTCAGACAGGTCTTGGTACAGTCTTGTGGAAGAAACAGAAAAATTCACCAGGATGGCAAGGGCAGCACTGCAGTAACTTTAAACACCCCTGCCAGGAACAGAGCCCTTTGGGGCTGAGCATCCTGCCAACAGCCAGGAAAACACAACCTTCCTCCATGGGGCTCTGACCTGATTAGAAACTAGAGGTAAAATATGAGAGTGCAAGCCATGTGGGGAAGAAGCATGAGAGTAGAAGAGGAGAAGCAGGAGGAATGAAAGAAGTCCCTGAATGTTGCAAGTGGCTGTTTGCCATCAAGGATTTTTCTATGATGTCCTGTCTTTTAAATAAATATCCAGCTGCCTCACAGCTCCAAGTTTATACGTGCCAGGATGTGTGCAGGGGGAAAGGAGCGCAGTACAAGGCTATGTCTGACCTCCTGGCAGTGCAGCCCTGACACTGGGTCCTGCCCAGTGATTCAAACCTGCACCACAGCTTTTCTCCTGCTGTAGGGCCACTGCAGCACCTCTTTTGCTGCTGCTTCCCGTCTGTCAGTCACTGTTCAGGGCAGAGAAGTCACAGCTCAGTACTGCAGGGAACTGGGGAAAGGGCCAAGTTGCTGTGGGGTGTGAGAAGCTTTGCCTGTGGCACACAGAACCCTGCTGAGCTGGGTGCTCCCTATGCCAGACAGCAGGGCTGAAATGAAAATCCTGGAATGTTTACACCCTTGTGAAATCTCCTGCTGATTCTTCCACATGTCACAGCAGAAAGGGATCCTGTGAGGGTTTCAAAGGCTGGAAGGCCAGTGACCTTACAGATGCACCAGAGGAGGCCGTGGATAATGGCAGTGAGGAGCTGTTTGTCCATGGATAGCCCAGGCTGCCATGGCAGACAGGTAATGCAAAAATAAATTAGAATATGTGGGCAAGAAGGATCAGACTTATGAAAACTCTCTTCAGCAAGGAACAACTTTGAGCTGTTCAGAGAAAAGAAGAGACACTTCAATGGTTCCAAGAGTGAGACCCCTGAGCAGAATGAAGGGCAGAAGTGTTTGGGGACTTTCCCTATGAGCACCTTTTTAAAGAAAAGCTTAATTTTCCCCAAACTGAAATTTTCTGTGAAAAACTTTCTTTCTTCCTGTTTTTTGGGGTTTTTTTCCTAGTTTGATGGCTCCAGGGCTACAGCATCCCCTCATGCTGAACTTCCTTCTTGTGTTGTTTCATAACACCTTGTGGACTTTGAAAACTTGAGGAGGAAAGCAAGCAAGAGCCATATCCAAAATACATTTTGATTGTTTAAAGTTACTTTTTGTTGGAGGAACAGGGAACATAATAATACAAAAAAAAGTATCATTTTGTGGTTTCCTTCCCCCCCACAACTTTTCCTCCTTTTTTTGGGAAGGGAACCATCTGAAGGTCAAAATGTTTTATATGTTGCTGAAGCCAAAAATAAAAGTAATTTTCTCCATCCCTCCATCTAAAAAAATCCAAAAGGCAGGAAAAAAACTAAGTCAAGAGCTTTCAAAACAAAGGGAGTAGAAAGGTGAAAGACCAATGGATAGACCTGAAATGTGTTTGGTTTGCATATTTTCACATTTGAAAGACATTTTTGTTAAAGGGAACCATAGTGTAACATAAAAGAAGTTTATAGCTGTAACAGTATACAGGAATTGGAGCCAAGCAGCTCTGTCTGAATGTGCCTGAAGGGTTACCCCAGCCTAGGCAATAGCTTCCAGAACTACAATCCAGGTTACAGCTTCTAAAAACAAGCAAGAAGCTTTGTGTAAGGCTTTCCTGTGAGGAATATGAAACGAAAGAAGTTGCCTAAAAGTCTCCTGTGAGCTAAAACTCTGCATTTAGTTCAAAATAGTGCACAACCTCTGTTCCATGGGAAGAAATACCAGAACTCTTCAGTCAAGTTGGTTTGGTAGGGCAGCTATCAGAACTAGGCACAGCCCACAGGAGATGCTAACAGAGCAAAGAGCTGCTGCACAGCACAGCACAGCCAGGGAAAGTAGTTTGTGGCATGAAGCAAGGCAGAGCTGCAAGGATAGTGAGAACTAACAGGAATGACTGGCATGGAAAGGAGCAGCTCAGCCTAAGTTGGCTCTTATATATATGGTATAGATATTACCCAGCAAGACATAATAATCTCAAACCATGAGTGTAATTCATTACAGAGGAGAAAGGTAACCAGCTGGCTGAGCAGCTGCTCCATGGAGGAAAACACGGGGAAAAGTGTTATAGTTATACATTAGGAACTGCTTTCATTATGTTCTTTGTTGTCTGGCAAGGTTTTTTCTCACATCAATGAAAATACCTTTTGCTGGCCATCAGTCAAAAGCAATATGAAAGAGGAATGATCACTCTGAGTGACAGGCAGGACCACGAAAAAGCTGGGAGGCCATATGAGGAGATAATTGAAAGGAAAGATCAAGGGAAACAAATGGAGTAGAAAAGAATGACTATTTTGGACTCCTAAACCAGTGCCTAAAATAGCATCTTTATTTCTTAGTGTAAAATACCTTTATTTCATTTTCAGATAGTCCAAATAAATCCTAAGATCTTTCCATAAGGGGTAAAACTTGAGTATCAGTGACCCTGTTGGTTTAGAGCAGGGATTTGTGAATCAGACATCCTGACATGGAAACTTCTAGTCATGAAGCTTGAAGTGACCTTTGGCAGATTGCTGAACATCAACCTTTTAGAAAACCCATAATCCTGAAATGAAAGAAACCTTAATAAATGAGAAGCACTACTATTATTGTTACTTCTTAAAGTTACAGGGCAGAAAGTTTTCTGGCATTCCAGTCTACATCTACTCAAAGACCTTATTTTTCTCCATGTCCTTATGACAATTGCTCATTCTAGCAATTACTTTCAAAAAATATACATATAGCTGGGGAAAACTCAATTTTATTTCTCTTTCTTCACCACTGCAACCCTTCTATTTTTGTAGGGCTAATCAGTAACAGACAAGCCTAATTCTCTCTCCTCCTTTGCCATGACACTAAGAGCCAACGATGCCTTTCAGAAACAATAAACTGCACATGATATTTTCAGGAATGCTGACATGCAAACAATCCCAGGACAGAAATAGACAATGAGGATGTGATACATAATGACTAGAAATTCTGTTTAAGTGTAACATCAAATTCTAGCAGTTTGCTAAGGACTGACTTCCCTGCAGAATGCTGCAAAACAAATCTGGGATCAGGCAGACGCTGCAGAATGCCCAGCAGGATGGCATCACACAAGATCTGGGCTCCTGCATCCTAATAAATCTCACCCAACATTAGGTAGTGAACTGAAGGTCTTGTCTGAAGAGCCTACATTATCATTATTTCCCTGACAGTCTGGAATAAGAGAGGGAAGTATCCAGGGTACAGTGAGAGTCATTCTCTGGAGATGCCAGTGTCTCTCCACTGACTATAAAAGGAGACTGCATTAGGCTCCTGACTTGGATGATTCAGTTGTGCTTCTAAAGACAGGCAGGATAAATACAGACCATACAGACCAATACAGATCATTACACCTGCCTACAGAGAAGGAACTGCATCTTTAGATCACCTTCTCCATTTCTCCATGCTATGATTTGTTTCCTCTTCACCCACTGAAAGACAGATCCAAGTCCTCAATGAGTCAGGATGATTTCAGAGGATTTCCACAAGAGCTTCTTAGCCTAAGAACCCAAACATTTGCCATTCAAGAAGTAGCAAAACAGATCACCTGAAAGGAACTAGGTCTTGAAGGACAGACAGTTCTCTAAACAAGAAAAACTGTCTTTTTGACAGATAAAGGAAATTTTTTTTCTGTTCCTCTTCTCACTTCAATAGGTTCAGAGATCAAGCTGGCTCATTCAGATTTCTTCAGATCTTATCTCCCAAGACAGCTGTGAAGCTCATCAAAGTGTTCCTCCACTGCTCATACATCAGTGCTAAGTAAACTTCAGTTGGTAACTGAATCTGCCCCTGGAGTTGGATATCCCTTGCACTACTGCTCTGTGTATAAATTAAAAAGTGATCATTATTATTTTTTCATCAGTGACTCTTTAGGAGCACAAAGAACAATGGTCTGCTTGTCTTAATAACTGTGTAAAGGAAGAATGAGACAAAGGTTTTTTCCAGATAATTTCAAGTTATACTTTAAATAAAATTATGAAGAGGATAGTGTATTGTTAATCAGAAACCTCTAAGAGATTTCCAGAATAAATATCTTTAAACAAAAATTTAAACCTATAGTTCTTTGTGAAGAATCTTGGCACAAAAATAATACAAGATAATACTGGTCTAAATTTAAAAGCATTGTCAGACATTAAGAACAGAGCTCCCTTTCTCTCATGTGAGTTTGAAGTAAGTAGAGCAGTTTAGTTTTTAGGCTGATGGCCTCAGACATCTGAGGTATTCTTATCCCATACAGTGATCAGTGGTTACAGGCTGTAAATGTCCTGGGTTCTGCCTGGACAGAAACAGCCACTGTATGAACGGGCCCAAATAGCAACATGCCACATGACTGCACCCTCACTCAGGGAGCTCTGCTGTGGCCCTTCAAAGGGAGGATTTCTATGACAGAGTTATTGGTAAAGAGGAAAAATGCACATTATTGCTTTCAATTCTGCTCTTTTTCCAAGAACCCTGTCCTGCTTTTCTTGGACAACCCTGAGCACACTGCCTATAAATGCTCCATGTCTTTGCAAGGGGACAAACTAGAAGGAACTAGAGCAATATCCTTATGAAATCACCAGAGACTGAGGAAATATGTGGGCAATACTCTCCTTCCCAGTGTGGTTCCTTGTGAGGCAAATCCAACACAATCTGGTCAAGGAGTACCAGGGGTTGTGTAGCTATTCAGGCTGCTCCTCCTCTATACTCTGTCATCAATAGAGCTTAGAGAGACATCTACAGTCAGTAGAAGTCATCTGAAACTCCTGCATAATCCCATGCCATTGTGGGTTCAAATTAAGGAATGACAGTCCTTTTTTAACAGTTCAAAATAAGGAACTAAATCACTCAGCAATCCTTGTTACTTAAGTGGCCATTCTCACTATAATTGCAGGATCAGCACAAATAAACCACCACTTTACTTTCAGCATTGGTTACTTAAAAGTCCTCTTCAGAAGATGAGTGGGGCCACAGATCTCTTCATTGCCTGGGCTCACACTCACACTGCTTGAAAACATTCCCATTCCTTTGGAGGAGCAATAGGAATGGAATGAAAATAGCCGTGAAAAAGCAGTTGACAAAATGTTTTATTGCACGGTGTGTGATGTGGATGAAAGCAAACAGAAAACCCTTTTACTACAATTGTACAACCTTTACTGTAAAAATAATAAAGCAGAGAAGTGCTACATCAGAGGTGTTAGAGGTGTATGTGGGCTTGGAGACACGTGCACATAATATTAAGTTGGTGCTTTGGAGCTCTGTAGGTAAAAGCTGTACGGTGTTCCATCAGAATTTTCTGCTGAGATATTCATGTCAGATATTAAACCAGTGTTATCACCACTTCCTGCTGGAAGGACAGAATTAGTGAGAACAAAGGTATTTATCTCTTAGTCATGGATAACAAAAGGTTTTTTTTTCTCTCCTGTTGTATCCCATTAGGAGATTGACACCTTCTTTCATTATTTTTTGGGGGCAATACAGCCATACTTAGAACCTCCACTCAGTATCACTTATGGCTGGTACGGTCACACACACCTAAGCTCAGAGAAAGTACAGCAGTGATACTCTGAAAATGTAAACATGTAAGTGACAAACATTAAATGCACCTCATGACCATATCAATTTACCAAAGGAGTTGTGAAGATTCTCTAGGATGCTTTGAATTGTAATTTTTAATTAATGACTGACAGTGGGAGCTATTTATATGCTAAATCTGTTCAGATGGCACACAGAGCATGTGATGTACTCTTGCAGGGTGATGTGGCTGAAATCATCTGGTAGTAAAAATAATTTTGACTTAATTATAATGTTCTTTTTTCTTCCTTAGCAATTGTTTATGAATAAATCTCTTGTTTTACAAGACCCAGTGAAGGTGTTATTGTAAACAAAGCATAAAAGCAGATATATAGTCTAATTTCTTTTGTCTTTGAAACAAACTATGACAAGTTGGAAAATTACAGAATGTTGGAGAACTCTTCACTACCTCTAAGGGATCAAAACAACCAAGTGTACACATGCAAATGGGGGAGTAATGCACAGACCTAATCCTCTAAAATCTTGTGTGAGAGCTAAATGAAACATAAACTGCCGCAAATATCCAAGCATTCTTCTGCAAATGGACCACATAGATCACATGTATCACACAAAGTGTTCAGCATTCTCAGATAATGTATGGAGACAGACAGATGCTGGCAGGACATTTTTCCATTCGAATGATGTCAGGATCATGCCCTGATCCATTTGCTCTGCCAGTAAAAGCCAGACACATTACAAGTTAAAGTGCTTGGTTATGACGAGAGACAGCCTTTCCTCTTCAATACTCTGCAGTCTCCCACAACAATGGCAGCTGGTAAATGTAATGATATCAAAATGGCCACATGGCCTTTTTATCCATCACCAGAGGCAGATAATCATGTAAGGAAACCAAAACTATGTCCCTTAATGTATCTGGGCATGAAGCCAACAGAAGGCAAATCCCAAATTTAGAGAAATCAGATGAACCTGACACTAGTCTAGCTTGGCCTTCTCAATAACCAAGATGATTTGAGACATCACTGCAGCTGGAAAGGCAGCAGTTCCAGCTTTCTTAGCACTGCCTACCCTCTCACCAGTAAATGTTTGTTAGTGTCATCTTGCTGTCTACCACTGGTCTTCATCTGCCATTATGAGCCTGCTCCATTTTGCCATGCAGATCCACCACAACTAACTCAACACTGTTCATAGACAAGAAACCACCAGCATGTGCAGTACCTCTACATCCACCTATTTTTCTGCTCTTCATTTACAGGCAGACATCCCAACCAAAGTGAAGCAAGAAGAAAGTAGTACCAGAAGTGACCTTCAGAGAATCATGTGAGTCTGTGGAGAAACAGGCTGCCTGTGCCAGGCTGTGTTGGCATGCAGGCATGGCAGTGATGGAAAGACTGAGAATTTCTGTGAGAAGCAATGAAGGCTGCAGAATGAGAATGTCAGTGTGACTATTCTGACATGAAAGTGTGCTAAAAAGTACCAAGTTCAGGGCTTGCTCAGACCATTGCAATAATGTATCAAATGGGTCTCTATTCTCCTTCTACTTAAACAGGTGTGCTTCACTCAAATGAGTTTACTGAGTGGAGAATAGAGGTGAAACTCTTTCCCTTGTGAAAAAAAGGGGATGGGGAGGCAATGGGGTGAAGAACAGCCTTTAAAGCTTCAGCTGTTTCTAAGGCTGTTTGACATTTCCTGCTACAAGCCTTTTGCTCCCCTTGCTGTTTCATGGTGTTGCTGTTCACAGGGCAAAGGGAACATGTTAGAGTGGAGAATGCACACAGAGCCTGGCAGGATAAATCAGGACCTAAAGGTGCAAAGCAGTGGAAATATGAGAAAATATGAGAAAATATGAGAAAACACTTTCAAACATCAACAGAAATTGAAATGGTGTAATTTGATGGTAAATAGTCTGCAGAAGGGGAAGATACAGAGCAGAGAGGAGCAAAAGGGAAAAGAGAGAAAAGGTACCAAAAATGGTACCAATGAATCTGCAGCAACTACAAAATAATGGCATGAAAGTCAAAGGGATTTTTCTTCTCCCTTGCAGGACAGAATATCAGCACCTCCTCCCACAGCTGTGCTCTAAAAGGATCAAATAGCGTAGTTCTTCCCTATCTGAAACCAGAGAACTTCTAAAAAACTACTGAAGCAATGAAGTATTGTACACACTCAGCAACCCAACATTTTTATAATGATCCTAAATACTTTTGGTGTTAAAAGCGTTTCTTGTCAGTTCCTGCCTGTGTTGAACCTCGTGGCAGCTCACAAATTTTCTTAACTGCTGTTGCTTGTGTGTGAATGGTGCTCTATTTCCTGTGAAGGCTGCAAATGCAGTTTCACACCATTTATTTTCTTTCCTTCTTTAAAACACTATATATTCATAACTCAGCATCCTCAGCACACCATTATTTACCCCGGTTCACATGTGCAAATGGATGTAATTGTATTAATACATAGATGTAGTAGCAAATAGTCTTGTAAAATGTCTGATGGTGTGAGGTAGTGATTATGTCTAATGATATTTTATAGCATAACATTTCTTACATTAATATTGTAACTTAGCAATCCACAGTGTTTACACTGTTTTTTTATACAGATGTGTATATTTTTTATACAATGTGTATTTCAGTTATGCTGCGACTGTAGGGATTTTGTGCAGTTCAAGCTGAAAGCCAGCTAGATTCAGAAGTATTTCCTTGACAGTGTGAAACTCTGAGAACACAGCCCTGACTCGCCATTAGTACATACAGCAGGTAGTCTTGCCTTGCAAGTGGTGCAGATAACTATAGAAATCATATGAATGAGCCCTGTTGAACAGAGTTTAACCTTCAAATCCAGTTCAAATGGCACACACTTGGCCTATACATAGGTATAGGCCTATGGATGAAGGCTATACATTTAGCCTTCATCCAGCTAATCAGCTCTGCAAGAACCCTGTGCACAGCTGATATTCCATGCCCATACTCAACCCCTCTGACAAGCCTAACCAGAGTAGTTAGATAAAGAATTACTGATCTCTCAGAGTCCACAAGAGTCTCTTCTTGGAGATGCCTTTACCAAAATCTGGTTTTGTTGTTAATAGCAGACTGAGAGGATGCAAAAAAATCTTGGAGTCTCTATTAAGACATGCAACACAGAACCCCTGTCCCTGCTAACATCCACGTGTAGGACAAGATTGATGCACAGCAGGTGACATGACAAGAAAGGTATGGATGAACAAGTGAAGGAGTGCAAGTTTTGCCACAGAGATCATCTTTCACCAGAACTTTTACTGCACTGGACAACAGCTGGAGAGGGTGAGCCAGAGCATACCCTGACAGTGAAAACTGCACCTGTGAGAAACTGTTTAATTCTGAGCTGTGTGAGAGAAATATCTTCCTTAGAGAAACTATGCTGTATCACTACGTGTTTAGAAGACAGAGAAGTCTAAAAAATTCAAGGTTCTCTTGTCAGGATTTCTTCTCCCACATCTTTTCATTTTACACTTGAACTAGAGGGAACTCAGTTGAAGGTTATTAAATTTTGACAAGGCAAGAAATTATTATAGATAAATGTTGCTTATGATCAGTGACAATACAGAGGTAGACAGCTTTATCTGCCAACCAATGGGCATTTAACAAAATAAGCATAATAGGAATTGCATGACAGATATACAGGAGGTGATTAGTTTCAAAAAAAAGCTCCCATCAACATACTCTGATATCTTCCTCCTCCTCATGGAATCTACAATTCATATTTCTGTTTAGCTGATAATTTCATTTATGAGTTAGAAAGCATTTATCTTGAATAGTACAGATGTTTAGTGAACAGAATGATTCATCTCTTCCTCTCTACTTTCTAAGTAGGACAAAGAGATGCCTCCAGTGTGTGCTAGGATGGAAGCATGTCTGTCATTAAGTTGTTGCTTCCCAGATAATAACTACCCATTAAGAGAAAAATTTGGAAAGACTGCTGCCAACAGAACTCACACAGAGGAATGCTCTTTAAAGTGATTGTGCTCCAGAGACTCTTACTGCTTGTTTCTTTTTCTCCCACCAAAAGCCACAGTACGTACAAAGACCTGTTCCTTTTGAAAACCAGTGACACAGCTTCGCTGCCCTGCATGTGTGGGAAGTAAAAGTCTGAATGGGCTTCATGAATGAACCTCATAAACACTTCTACTGAATTCAGAAGATGTAAGAGAGAAAGTTTCAGTTTGGAAAGACTGAACAAAAGTGTAAATCACCCTAGGGAATGAAGAATACCTAAGATACTTATTCATGTTAAATAGCACAATTAGAAAAAGTATAAAACCATCAGAATTTAAACCCCTTGATTTTTCAGATTTTAGCCCTAAAACTGTATTAACTTCACATAGTTTGCTAGAAGTATTCTAACTGAATACCAAATATATGGTCTATTTAATATATAGCTTATGAATTTCATTACCATGCAGCATGTTTGCTGACACATAATGAAAGAAAACTTGCTTAAATTAAGCATCTGTTACATTCATTCCCAGTTTTAGTTATATATATGTCATGAATATTTTTGTGGTTTTAGAGGAAAACCCGAATAGATAGAAATACTGGTAAACTTTTGAAGACTGCCAAAGAAAAGATCAGAAATATTTGCAAAGGACATCTACAGCTACAGTTCTGCCTATGCTGGTACACTCCAGTTATGGCATTAATAGCACCACAGATTTGCATGTTGAATAACAGTTGCCTGTCTCCTGTCCTTGTTGGTTCATGTCTATTTTGCATGTGACAGCTTTGTCACTCTGTCTCTGCCTCATTTTTCACTTGGAGGAAGGCAATGGCATGAAGAACCCCAGGGACATTAGAATGCTCTATAAACATGATTAGAGCATTCAGCCTCTTCATTTAAAGCAAGTACCATATTGCTACCAACATCTGCTTTGGGCTATAATGGGGCCCTTAAACAAACCACACCACCCTGAATGAGCAGAGCCCTGGAACATCTGTTGATTGTGCCTGCATAGTTGGCAGCTACAAACATGGCATCTCATACTTACTGTCACTCACACTCTTGTGCTGCTACTCATATGGATTCCTTTGGGAGAGAAAAGTTATCCACTTGGAGCTGAGGTTCTCGGAGATGAGCCTGTGCTGTATAAACTGTATTTCTGTGAGGGGTGCTCTGAGCATTGGGGTGTGCACTTCACTGGGGCCAGCAGACTCGTGGCATGGGTATGTGGACTCCATAAGTGGCAATAGTGCAAAGATCATATAAACAGCACCACTAAACTGTCAGTTTATGTTGTTTCCACACTGAAAGGTGAAAAACACCACGGTTCAATTGCTTTTTACACTTGAAATTCTTTTTTTCTATTAAACATCACTTTCTCAGGAACAGTAGAATACCTATAACTAATTGCTCACTTGTGACAAATTAACCACTGAAAATAGTGCCCCATTCTTACAGGGAATGGACTCATCGATATTCAACAGACTGATTGATAATTTCCAACATGAAACCAAGAGATACTGAAAGATGCATTAGGATTTTAGCCCCCTTTTTCAAGCTGTGTGTGAAATCTTGGTCATGGCACCAGCTTCTAGATGAGTCACTAACCTTTATGGCTGCAAATCAAGGGTCATTTCTTATCACTTCAGTAGGGATATTACCTGTTGAACATCCTGCTGGAAGACACAGAGCTGCAGCCTTTGATGTAGCCGGACCTTTCTGTGTTGCCAGATGCTTTCTAGGCGCCGCTGGTGGTGCAGGACTTCATGTACCACATCCAACACCTGGTGAACAGCTTTGGAGTAGTTTGCAGTAGCAGTAAGGGATTCAGAATTCCCAGGACTCAAGGGACGCTGTAGGACATCCAGCAAGGCTTTTCCATCCTGGCTCACCTGAATGAAGAAATAGGCCTGCTTCACTGCACTGGTACTTAAATATCTGAGAGCTGACAGAGAACAGCCATTGTTCGTCTGCTGTGTTTTCCTTATTTCAGTCAAAAAGGAAGAAAGAGCTCATAACATCTCTTTTTGACTGGCACTTACACATTCTGCACTTGCCTTTGCTTCCTGATGGCCGCCCTGCTGTGTCACTCAGCAGGAGCACAGGTAGGGCACTGCTGGGGCTGCATGCAGAGACCCCAGGGCTTTATTCCACTGTGACACTCGGGCACTGAAAATTCCTGACACACACTGCTTGGTGACAGGTGGCATTTGCAAGTGCAGGCCTATCTTTGTGAGGAGGTGGCATTTTAAGAAAACCACAGATGGCGGAGTCATTCATATTCTGTATAATAAGGGAGAGTCCTTTCTTTGTAGGATTACCAAGTATGTCTATACATTGAGAAGTGTGACATTCCCTTCTGTATTTCATTCAGTGGCAGTGAAAAGTAAATTAGTATATGACTGATTCTTTTCTTCCCCAGGAACAGCTCAGAGGAACCTATGGTCTCAATTTTCAATAGACTATGAAGTTTGCTGGTAAATGCAAAGCCCTCTGCACACATGTAACCTTTTTCAAGCATATTAAAAGATATTTACAGATACAAAGGCATTTGGGCATTTAAAAAAATCAGAATGTCTGGTTTTTAATGTCAGACTTTTTTTTCTGGAACATTCCTGGACCATTTTCATATTGCAGGGGCAAAATGACAAATTTAACCATAAAAACCATATTTCTGCTACTGACTCTTGAAAAATGTTTTTTTGAAATAATTTTTCAGTTCAAGATTAAAAAATTAAAGTATTTTGTTCAACAGAAATGATAAATGAGGAAACTATTGGAATCCCTCTCTTTTCCCAGTCTACCTTTTGCTTTTCCCTCTGAAGCAAACTGCAGTGAAAATCACAAGTTTTCCTGAAATTGTATTTGTATGCAATCACAATCACCAATCTTGACAGAGAATAGGGTAATGAATGTTTTTCATCCAGTTCAAATTCTGAACATTAGCAGCCAAAGTTAAAACACGTCTCCAGGATTTCTGCGTCTCATTCATTCTTGTATTAGAAGTTGCTTGTTCAAATGTAGCAAATATTCTTTTAATGCCCAAACCTGTGTCTTTTGGCAAGCCATGCCACATCCTGGTCTGTGCTAGCACTGGGTATATGGTGCATTTTCAGAGAAACTAAGAGACCTTTTGAGATGCATACTGGCAAAAACTGGAGTCAAATCTCACCATATTTATGACTATTTGGTGGCCTTAGGAAAATT